ATAAAGCTTTTGGGTCGTCTGTCTCAAATCCATTTCTCTAAACTAAAACTCCTCTCTAAAAATGCCCAATCCTACCTATTCCACACAGGTTGAAAATCCCAACTTCTGACTCTTCAACTCATTTTAGTTCTTTTGGCTGCTAACCCAGAAGTGGGATTGCTGGATCATGTGGTTGGTCTAGTTTTATTTTTTTGTTTTTTGTTTTTGGTACTAAGGATCAAACTCGGGTCCTTGTGCTTGCAAGGCAGGTGCCAGAACCACTGAGCTAAGTCCCCGGCCCTAGTTTTAGTTTTTTGGGAAATCTTCATATTGTCTTCTAAAATGACTGTGTAAATTTAAATTTATCCAGAGTGTACAGGAGTTCTCTGTCTTTTTTATTTGTACATATTAGTTATAGAGAGCAATAGGTATAGTTTGGGCATATTATATATGACTATAATATACTTTGATAATTCCATTACCCGGTTTCTCCTGTCCCCATCCTCCTCTCTGACAGTCCTTCTTCTACTTTCATATTATCTCTGTTTTAGTATAAAACTTAATTTTTTCTGAAGTCAAGAGATTTTCTTTTCTCCAAACGCTTGACAACACTTACTATGCTTTGTGTTTTTTGGTGGGGAGGGGAGGATGCTGAGTATTGAACCATGACGTTTGTCATGCTTGGCAAATGCTCTTCCACTACATTCCCCAGTCTTCAATTGTCTTTTGCTTTAATATTTATTTTTTTTTTTTTTTTTTTTTTTTTGAGACAGCATCTTGCTATGTAGTTCAGGCTGGCCTTGAACTCATGGTAATTCTCCTGCCTTAGCTTTCTAAGTGCTGAGATTACAGGCATGAGCCATGGCACCCAGTTCTCACGGCTTTTCAATGACAGCCATTCTAACATGTGAGATGGTATCTCTGTGTGGAATTAATTTGATTAAAGATATAGAAAAATTTATATATATCTATTGGCTATTGATATCTCTTTTGAGAAATGTCTGTTTGGATCATTTGTCTGTTTTTAAATGGGCACATTCATCTTTTTTGCTGTTGAAGTGTTTGTGTTCCTTATGAATTTTTGGATATTATCTCTTTATCACAAGTATGGTTTGAAAATATTTTCCCTTAATCCATGGGCTGCATTTTCATTCCGTAAGTTGTTTCCTTGACGTTAGAAGTTTTTAGTTTGATGTAATCAAGTTTATTTTTGTTTTTGTTACCTGTATTTTTGGAATCCTACCCAAAAAAGCAGTGCCCAAAAAATTGTACAGAGCTGTTCCTTGTCTTCTCAGGCATAACATAAGACTCAGTAATTTCACTTCTAGGTGTCTACCCAAAGAATTGAGAACAGGTATTCAAACAATAATTTGTACATGAATGTCCATAATAACACATTCATAATAATCTAAAAGGTGGAAAATATCCAAATGCCTATCATCTCATAACTGGATAAATAAATGTGGTGGATATATACAATTGAATATGATTCAGCCATAAAAGGAATGAAACACCACAAAAGCATTATGCTAAAAGAGAGAAAAGCAAAAGATGGCAGATTCCATGATTCCATTAATGTATGTACCTGTATCAGCAAATCACTGGTGACAGAAAGTAGATTAGTGTTGTCAGGAGCTGGGGCATGGAGTGACCGTTAATGGGAATAGGGAATCCTTTTGGGAGTGATGAAAATGTTCTGAAGCTACGCAGATGTGAGGTAGCGTAATGTTATGGACATAGTAAATGCCATTGAACTGTACACTTTAACCTGTCAAAAGTTTACATTTGATGTTACATGAATATTATTTCAATAAAAATTTACTATAAATTTATGATGCTTTCTTTCTCCTCTTCAACCCTTTATCACCTTCTCAACAGGTAGAGTAAAAGCTTGAGTTTTCTGATTTTATGTTTTTGTGTGTGTATGAGGGCAAGATAAGTCACAGATCAGTGACACTTTCTGTCAGAGATGCTTAGGTCTCCTTCTGAAAAGTTATGTTAAACATTTCTCAATATAAAAATATCACTGCTTTGCTTTATGGTCTAGGATATCTAGAACTCAATCATTCATTTAATATATTAGAGGAGGAGAGCAATATTTTCACCAGTGGACAAGCAGGAATCTTTTCTTTTTGAAGACTTTGGCCCTCATGTGATAGTGTGCAGTGTGGCTTTCTAGAAAAGGGTGGATTCTAAACACATTTCTGAGTTTTTACAAGAGGATATCCTTGAACTCTATTGTGTAGAAAGATACTGGCTTAAGGTCCTGAACATATGTCTCTCTGGTCTGCCAGTTGGAAAGGGAAAAAAGCAAAATGATGCTCATGTGACTCATACAGTCCAGTTGTACTCACCAGGGCTGTGGGGCCCATGACTTTCGCCCCAGATGCTCTTGTAAGGTCCCCACCCTAATGAGATTGGCTGCACCATGTGTGGCTCACATGACTTCTGCAACTCTGAACCAAGTAAGGCCTGTTTGATCCCATGGGCACAGTAAATTTTGTAACTTACACCTCGTTTTTCCTCTTCTCAATGACTATAGAAAAGATTTAGATTTAGATTTGCAGATGTTAGAAAGGAAATGAACTTTCTTGGCATGAATTGTGTATACTGTCCTGACTTCTGATGTAATTTCATTTCTAATTCATATCTGCTGATAATCATTTTTTCTCCTTCATTCATTAAAGGCAATGAATATATTCCATTTACCTTTCTAGTAGGGCATATACATTTTTTAAGTCAATATAATTCACTTTGGAATAAGGTGTGGACCTAGAGTCCAGAGACAAAAATCCCACATCTCTATTGCAACAAAAGAGAGTAGATTGTTGCTCTATCACCTGCTCAGTTATACATACACAGTCACATGTCCAAGCAACTCTTGTGCGTTGCACTGAAAGTTCATAATCTAGTATCTAGTGTCTTCCGAGAGCAGCCATTTTATCAAAAAATCACCACCTAATGTTTTGACTCAGAGCTCCACATCAGAACCCCACTTTGCAGCAGCCTTTGCTACCAACTGTAGGGCAGCAAACATGGGATTTCACGAGGAGATACAGGTTCTCTGAAAGGTGGGAGCAGGTTCGGCGATGACAGTCAGACAAAAGCACTCAACACCGAGGTGAAGTTTGCAAATGCTGCTGCCATTTTATTTCTAACTCTAGGTGTTTATATACTAGTTTCAAGGGCACACCTCAAGAGTGATTCCAGTCACAGGCAGGCATGAGAAAGATAGACAATAGTACTGTAAAAACTAAGACTACAAGGTCAAGGTAAGACCACACCTATATACCATCACAAAAGCTAAGACCATTAAATCAAGGTAAGACCACACCTATATGCAGTCAGAAGGGGAAGTTTGTAAAACAAAGGACTGGCTTCAGCATGTCACCTTCAGGATCACCTTCAGGACTTCACAGTCCGGGGCTCAGGGTCAGCACTTTTGGCCGCCCGTCCTCTTGTGCCTCAATACCTCCCCATGTCTAGGAACATCTAATTGTTCCTAAACTTTCCTGGGCCCAGAATACAATTCTACAGATAATGGACAAATAGTAATAAAGACAAAATAGAACAGAATTATAAATGAACCCAATGTCCCCAAACTGCAGGCAGAGAGGCCAGCTATTCTGTTCACGGCTGACTTCGCATGCGGTGAGTGCCAAGGACCTCCAGGAGGCTTAACCCCGTGGGGACGATACCTCTGGTCTGGTTTCTGCCAGGTGACCGGCATTGTCACGCAGACTCCACTGGAGTGGTCGTGGCAAGCCTTCATGTCCTTATTCCGTAGGCTGTAGATGAGAGGGTTCAACATGGGGGTCACCACAGCATAAAAGAGCACCACCACTTTGTGCTGCTCAGCTGAGGCCCTGGAGTGAGGGTGTAGGTAGGTGAAGAGGGCCATCCCATAAGACATAGAGACCACAGTGAGGTGAGAGGCGCAGGTCTCAAAGGCTTTGCGGCGTCCCTGAGTGGAGTGAATCTTCATGATAGTGGTCACAATGTGGACATAGACAGACAGACCAGGCAGCAGGGCAGCAGCAGCACCACCACACTGGAGACCACTATGACCACCTGGTTGAGGGTCACATCTACACAGGCCAGCCTGACCAGGGCCAGTGTCTCACAGGCCACATGGTTTAGCACATTGTGCCCACAGGTGGGCAGGTGCATAGTGACTGCAGTCTCCACAGAAGAATTAGCCAGGCCCACAAGCCAGGAGACACCTGCCAGTGCCACACAGAGCCTGGGACTCATCACTGCCATGTAACGCAGAGGGTCACAGACAGCCACATAACGGTCATAGGCCATCGCAGACAGCAGCACAAACTCGGTGCCCCCAAGGGCCAGGGAGAAGAAGAGCTGGGTCCCACATCTGGCAAAGGAGATGGTCTTCTTCCCCAGGAGGAAGTGTGTCAGCATCTGGGGGACACCGCTGGAGGTGTAGCAGATGTCCACGAACGCGAGGTGGCCGAGGAAGAAGTACATGGGCAGGTGGAGTCGAGTGTCCAGCCAGATCAAGAGGAGGATGAGCCCATTGCCCAGCAGGGTCAGCAGGTAGGTGGCCCCAAAGAGCACAAAGAGCCCAGCCTGGGTCCGTGCATCATCGGAGAGACCCATGAGGACGAACTCACTCACCCAGCTCACATTGTCCCTCCTCATGGAGCAGGTGGGATGGACTGCTGGGCTGGGGCAACAATGTCACATGGGCAGGTAAAATACTCACTTTAGGAGTCTTGAATTAAGTGCCCAGCTAGGATGTGAGGTGGAACAGGGATACTGAGATGCTTTCGCCTGGATGATTAAAGGACAATGTAATGAAGACACTGGAGAGAGGAATACTTGGTTCTCACCTTAGACTGTTTGATTCTCAAGCACACATCTCTCTGCTAACGTTTATGTGTAGGACGTTGGATGGTTTTAATTAAGAAAAAAAAAAAAAACCAGAAAATAAGTGGTGAGGAAAAGAAAGAATGCATGATAGAAGAAATAGAAAAAAGGAAAGGAAAGGGAAAAGAAATACTAAAGCAAAGAAAGCTGGAAAATTAGAAAGTTAAGAAGAAATATGGACAATAGGAAAGAAAGGAAGGATCCTTCAGTGTGGGATAGATGTAGGTACAGTGTTGTGGCCAGATACACGGAAACAACAGGGGACCCTGAAGTTGTGGATGTCATTTCTGAAGTCTGCATTCATTTGCTCTTCGTGCTTTCTTGGGTTCAGTCTTCCTCACTGTTTAGAAAGGAGTCCTGTCACGTCTTCTCATTTCACCATCAGTCCAGATGCAACTTACATCCATTCGACCCATGGTGCTGTTGTGTGTCAGGAACTGAGCTAGACTCCTGGTACCTGACTGTGAGCCACAAAGGGAGATACGCATGGGTCTTGATTACCTTGGTTGTTATAATTTAACAAGAGATAGAGATTAAATTAATAATTACTAAAATATCAGTTAAAGTAATTATGCTAACAGGGAGAAGAGCAAGGTTAATACTTGGCTAATTAAATTTGAAGCTGTGTAATTACATTATCACTGTAGCTATTTCTTACTTCTCAGTAGGGTACACTTCATATACTGAGAGGGAAGTGAATTTTTAGATATTCAACAAAATGTTTAAAAAGGATGTACTAAGAGTATCTGGAAAACAGTGACATTCATGTTCAACTACTGAACATCAAGTGATGGTTAAGGACTTAATTTCAAACTGTGTGGATTTTGTTCAGTCAGGGTGACATTGGGTCTTCTCCCTCCCAGCTTGCTTACTGGTTCTCTAGAAACATTGTATTAAGGACCATCAGTTTTTCTTAATAGCAATATAACTTCTAGGCAGATGTTTGGCTGTTAGAAAATTTAATTGGTAAATATTTTCATTTATGGAAAAATATGTTGATGATATAAGGTATTATGCTTTTGAACCAAACTCTAGGTAACCTCATCTTTCAAAGTGAAGAATTTGTGTGTAGAATATCAGCAGTGCCACATAATCAAATAAATTTTAAAAATTCGTCCTTGGTAAAAATCTGCAGGAAGCCAACCAGAGCACATTTGTGCAAATCACTAGAATCAAACAGGACAAATACAATACATCAGTGTTAAGGCACACAGAGCAGAACAACAAAATCAAATGCAAGAGACTGAAAAGCGTAAGTCAGTTGAGGGTTCTCTTGGCTAGAAATAGTTGCTGGATTTCTCATCGTGGAGGGAGACAGCAGAATGCCTGAAAGGAGCCAGAGTCTCCTGCTTTCCATCAGCTCTGTCCTGTGGTGGCCAGAAGGTGTCACCTTAGAAACTGGCTTTGGATTCTCCTGGGTGGAGATTAGGTTGTGGGGTCAGAACTCAGGGAGCAGGTGGCTGGGACTCTGAGTACTGGCCAGGGAGCCAGTGGCTGCCCACGGAGCCTTGCCCTTGAGTAGGCAAAGGAGTAACTCAGTTTGGATCTGCTGCCATCTGTAGGCCACTTTGTACTGTAGATGCAATCCTCACCCTCAGAGTTGGTGTCAGGGATCAATAGTCCCTCCAGAAAGTGATCAAAACTGCAAGAAGTGAATAGACCCATAGAAACCAAACATTCCATCTCTTTCATTTTCTAAATGAGGGAACCAAGGAACATGGGTAAGGTGATTTGCCTGTCAGATGTGCATGGATCAAGCTGAAACAAGGTTCAAGCCTGTATTCATTTCTCATCTCTCACAATGAGAGGCTGGGGGGAGTGCTGAGTGGATGTGGCCTAGAAAGGGAGGCATCTGTGGAATCTTAGACAGGAGGCTCGAGGCAGCTGTGTTGCCTTATAGAGAAGCACACTGTGTGAGCAGAAAAAGCTCGCAATGAGAAGTCAAGGAATCCATGTCCTAATTCACTTCCCTCCTTACCTTGTTATGGGCAAGTTCCTGAGGCTTAGCTTCTTCCTCTGAAATGCATGAATGATAATTGCACTACCTCATCATATTTTGAGTGAAATCAGATGAACAAATGAATATAAATGTCCTTTGTAAGAAGAGTAAAAATTGAGAACTTTTGTTACTATACTGAGCAAGTTTGCATAATAGAAGCAAATTATGTCCAATGATATGCAGACAAGAAACAATATAAATAGGTGCTTTGTAGGTCAATAGAACATGTGACATAAAGCTCTTTTGCAATTGTATCAACTAAACCATCTAATTAACTTAACCATAGAAATTCTTCTTAGGTGTTTGAAAAACACTGTATAGGACCATGCTCTGCACACAGAACAAACTCTCCACTCTTTTATACCAATACAGTTTTGATGTTTTTATTGAGATGTTATAAACTTTTAATTTTTAGGTAGCCTTTATCATAATTAGATATTTTCATTCCATTTTTTAAAAGTATCATAAACTGTCAGTTGCTGGTGTAAATTGGGACCCATATTGTCATGTGTCCTTGTCCAAGAGCTTGGCCTGGCAGGAAGAAGAGGGTGAGACACCATAACCTCATCAGAGAGAGCTCAGAGGAAACTAGATAATCATTCTGCAGCTGGAGACATCCAGTCTGATTATGTCAGTGGTGAATCAGATACACAGAAATAGTAAAGTGGAAGAGAGAAATAACCAGTGCCTTTGCTCGTTGAAGTGTTGATACAGATTAAGGTACACTAAGATAAGGACAGCTGAGGTTCAGCCTGTATTAAGAAATCATTTATGTATTCTTGAGTAAACTGCTATATATGGAAGCCACTTTCTTCAACTGCAGAAGAGCAAGTTAGGCTAAGTAAACTTGAACAATTCTTATAGCTCTTAAGATTTGTGTTGAGTGAATACACACAGATAAACTATAAGGCTTTACAAAAGAAAGAGAAAATTCTTTGGTTTTTGATCACTCAGTATATAAAACTAGAGGAAGTGTAGGCCAAAAAATATTAAGAGTTAGTGGATTTTAGGACCAAAGGATTCAGATCACACACACACAATTGTTTAAGGGTGGTGCCAAGAGATAGGACTTGAAATTTGGAGATTAAGGGACTAGGGCAATGGGCTGTACCAGCAGAAATGGGAAAAGCGTTTGGGATAAGACTGAAATGCATGTGGCTTTCAGATACATAAGCCTCCTTCCTTTCCTGATAATTATTTGACTGGGATGCTCCCTAATACCAAGGGTTTTAGCAGACTAGGGTCCAATCCTGCCTTAGTTACATAGGAGTCATGCTCCTTGTTGGCTGATAATATTCACCAAGTTCTTTTTCAAGAGAATGCGGAAGTCTATATCTTTGGCTCTTATACCAATCCCAACCCTTCTCCATTCCTTCTTATCTCCAACACAATACAGGTGCCAGATGACTAAGAAAATAGCATTCAGTTTTTTGACTTCTATTCTTTACTTTTGGAAGTATGTATTTACATATACAAAGCATCTCAGTTAGACTGTTGATTGACTTACTGACCAAGAGTGAGGACTCCACTGAGTGACTTGAACACAATGAGCTACATCTTATCTGTCATGGGAGAAATTCAAAGAGCTTCCAAGACAACCAGTGAGAGGCACACTAGAGCGTCTAAAACAGCCCTGGCATCACACAAAGATCACCCTCCACACCCTCAACCCTTCTCAACTCTCCCTGTGGGGGGACTCATCAAGGATGAGTGCTCAACTCATGCACAGGATTCATTTTGGATGGGGAGGCAGCACATAGCCTAGGAAGCCATTGAGGCTGGTTCCCCTCCTCTTCCTGGGTGACTTTACTTTGTCAGTCTTGGCTGAGAACTTTTCAGAGCCCAGGAATCCCCAGAGAGTAATTACTTGCTCTTGGAGAGTTCTTGTCTCATTCTCCCCCCACCCACAGCTCCTCTGCAATGCCAGCTCTCTCCTGTCCCAAGTTCCCTGGGGGGATAAACACTTTCTCCCAACTTTTAATTGTTCCTTCAGTTCTTAGGTTAACAAGGGCTTCCCTCACTCTTGTGAGTCTTTCTCTTCAAGGCTGTGGCGTCACTGGAGACCATGGGCAGGTGTCATGGACAGAAGTATGCACTTCTCTGTTCTTGTGGGAAGGGACTGAAAGCAACTGGGAAGGAGAAGAGGAATTAAAACTCAGGGTCTGTTCTGCCTCCCAGAGGAAGAAGTTGAAAACACTTTCCTCCTCCCCCCACACATCTAGCTTGCTGACCAAGGGAGTGGCTGATAAGCATATCACAAGGTAGAACCATCACGTCTATGGTCTGGGAGTCACTGAGAAGCCCCAAGTCCACAGGCATTAGATTTTCCCACAGACTCCTTGGTGGTCTCTCGTGTCACATTCCTGTTGTGTTTCCTTTTCATATCTCTAGAAGTTTTTCTTACTTCACCAATCTTGGCATTCCAGTGTTTGGTCATTTCCCACAAGATTCTAATCTCTTCACTATAATTACTAGAAGAAGCAGAGGAAATAATGGTGAGGGTGGGGTTTTATTCTCAACACTTACCTTTCCATATCTGTGGAAATACAACATGAGTCCTTGAGAGGAAAAGAAACAGACATCACTGTGTTATTCACTAAAGTTTTTGATAGTGACCAACATTAGGGGATAAATTAAGTACTTGTAAAATTTGTCACTGATGACAGTGAACGGGGGAACTGTCATTTCATTATTTCATTTAATGTTTTTCCCCTTGGGTGGGATCTCCAGAATCTCAGATTTATCTTGGCTCTTTTCTTCACCGCAAAGTTTTTCAGATCTCAATGACAATAAAGGGAAAAACTGATGGCACTTCTGAGCACTGTAGCCAATTAAGGGGTAGAGATGTAAAGAGGTTGGAGGATACTTTGAGGAAAAAGAGGGAGATAGAGGGGGGACACTGTTAATGTACCTGACAGGCAGACTTATGTGATTTATGCAGCACCTCTGAATGCAAAAGAGAAAGAACAGCTTGGTACCATCTTCTAGGCTGCACATAACTGTAATGCAATAAAAATGTCTTCTTACTGGCAAAAATTGCATTGACTTTCCCAAACATTAAGATAATAGGTTGATTAATAGCAAAAAAAATAATACATGTATGTTGCACATCCATAAAGAATAAAGCAGAAAAAGGACTCAAAGGTGAACATAAAATATAAATAATCTCTTTGGAGTATGATTGCAATTTTCATTTTCTTTTTCTTTAATCAGCATTTTTAAGGTGTCTACAATAAACATATGTTCAAATAAGGCTCCAACTGAAATTTAAACTATTTTTTATTGACATAGATATATTGCACTGAGAGTCACATTATAAAATCAACTTGCTGTCTTATCGTTTAACATTACTAAATTGGCTTTGAGCACATGCTTGAGTATTAAAGGGTGTAAAAAAGGCATAATTAAAACTGTGTCTCAGAAAACTAGATGTAACTACAGGTTTTGAATCATTATACCATGAAGGGACATCTGTATATCTTCTATGGGGGTAAACTTTCTAGACTAGAGTCAGGACAATGTATTCACACTCTGGCTTTCAAACAGAGACCTCTGTAACTTTGAGAATTCCCTTAATCTTCTTAGTTTTCTCATTTAAGAAATAAATTGAGGGGGTGAAGGGAGGGTAGGGGTAAGGGGAAAAAATGAGAATCAAGACTTGTCATGTAGAGGTACAAGATCCCAACAATGAATATAACTGTACTGTATCCCTAAAATGTACCAATAAACTCAATTAAAGCTGAAAAAAAATAAATTGACAGAAAAGGGCTAAAGGTGTAGGGAAAGTGGGAAGGGTAGGGGAAAGGTAATAAGGGAAAATATATGAGCAAATGAAAAAATGGAAATAAAATGTTTGTGAATGGAGAGGGAAGGAGGGGGTGAAGGGAGGTCAGGGACAAGGGGAACAAATGAGAACCAAGACCTGTCATGTAAAGGAACAAGATCCCAGTAATGAATGTAACTGTACTGTATCCCTAAAATGTACCAATAAACTCAATAAAAGAAAAAAAAAGAAATAAATTGATGGGCTGGGGATTTAGCTCAGTGGTGTTGCTGCCTGCCTCACAAGCACGAGGACCGGAATTCAATCCAAGGTACCAAAAACCAATCAAAACACCAAAAAAAAAAAAAAA